AGTGCATCTCTAGTAAATCAACGTAATACATTTGGACCGATGGTATCATTCCCGCTAAATTCATAAATAGAACTCATCATTAACCGAAAAAATCATTTGAAATTGAAGAAATCAAGAAATTCGTTTCTTCCGCTTTGCTCATATGCACAGCTATTTACATCATCTGCTTCGTGAATTACTCGATATAATAATCAATATCAATGGAAAGTCGCGATTTTGGCTTATCATGAAAAAAGGTCTCAAAACTTATCGTTGATTCACTATTCATTTTATGATAAAATCAACAGAAACCATATTAGAAGTTGATACTCCTGCTTTTCTTTTATTGCATATCCAAAAGCTGAAAAATTGACATGAACACATGAGTAATGATTTTGATTGATCTCAACTTGATTTCAGCTATTGAAATCAGTTTGTTCCCCTTGGTGCTAACAGTGCTATCGCAATTTGAAAAAAATATCAAGATAAAACATGAGTTATTTTTAGCCTAAATGGGTTTATGAAGCAGTACTCAAATACGAAAAACAGAAGAGAAATTCAACTGAATATTAATCACATATCTGACTAAAAGCAAGAACATTGGCTTGACATCAATGACTTTTCAATCAGTGTCTTACAATATCATATATGAAATACATAATACACTCAGCAATATTGTTTAATGAAATGAGCGAGTCAAGAAGTTTTCTTGTCTTTGTTTGTATCGTTGAGCGCTGTTGCTTATTTCTTAGATTTTTTTAGACCGAAAATTTTGCGCATAATTAAAACACCCCAATAAAAATTAAGACATCTTAATGAAATGCAAAGAACGGTTTGTATCACAACGAATACCAAACTTGTTGTGTCGCCTGATCTTGAAGCTAGTTGAACAAAACGAGGCACAGCCCAAAAAGCATAACCACATATGATTGTTCCATAGAATAGGCGACTGAAAAGGAAACTGATCGCGAATAATATTGAAAATAGATGATGAGCACGTGGTTGATGATGATAGATTGTTTTGAGATTGAGTGGAATTGTTGAGAGCTCCTCAATAAGTAAATAAAAATGGCATGGGTGCCCAACTTTACCGAGAACACTTAATCACAATCAGTAATGACACAAACAAGTCAGTATAAATCCTAATAATCTGTTTTTTCAAAAGGAAGAACATTGAATTTTTTTTCTGTCATGTATTATCTGATGGTTCTATGACAAAGACTAGAAATTTGGATAATAGTAAAAGTTGGAATTACTCATAGTATATCGGTCACCATTTTCTATTAGACTGAATCGAACTTGTAGAAAATCACTTAAAGCTGAGATTCAAAATCGAATACAGAACTTCTCAATTCTAGATGCTCTTTGATAAAGAAAGTAGTATTACGTCATGGTCTTCTCTCCTGATTAAACAATATAAGATTAATTCTTCTTTTCTCTCTTCGCTGCCCGTCTCATTTTATTTTTCGTTTAGTGAATGTCTACATGTATTTCATGAGAAGACATTCTTTACAATCCATTATCACATTGTATGCTATCATCTGCCTGATCAGCTTCACGAATGTACGTCATCAAAACTTAATTGTTTATGAATTTTATGTTTAAATTGTATTCAATGCAATTTTGTGAACTCAGTAGAAAAGCAATATGGTAGCATCCTTGTTTAATTAATCTAAAAAGTTAAACAGAGACTGGCTTCTATTGTGAAAGAGCATTTGCTTAGACAGAATCTAAAGTCATTTTCTTTTTTAAAAACAAAAATGTTGCTTTCAAATTTCTTGAGAGAAACGTTAATATTGCTTGAAACTATCATCTGATACATTTGAAATACTAAGTTCCATAAAGACAAAATGCTAATTTATGCATGGACACTACTATTGATTTAATATTCATCTCTTTCTTGTAGCTGAGCAACAAAACAGATACCTGAGAGCAGGCCAGCAATAAGAATTACATGATGAATCAGTGCTGATGTAGTTCGAGTGACTTTGAAGAATAACATAATGAGAAAATCATACGTGAAATAGCCTATTGAATAATATATACTGTATGCCATGATTTCGTCGCCTGTTCCCTTCATACCGCCACCTGTTATTCGATTTACTTGTGTTAAATCGACGGAATATCACAGATAGAATATACATACACTCACAACACTGACAACAGCGTGAGTCGTAGAAATGATATAACTCTTAGTCAACGGTTTGACTGATATTGGAAGGTAATAAAAGATAAGTGTGTGACCTATTAGTGAAAGCAGAATTACAGAAAATATTGGCCTGACTGGTGTCGGATTTGTACCAAGATCTATATACACATCTACATATTATTGATGATAAAAATTGTTAGGAAGTTCTTACACGCCACACGAATATCATCATTGGGCAACATAAACATTTTGAAATACAACAAGTAATGACGATAAACGTGTGTGCGTTTCGTTGCTTACATGTACATGTGAGAAAGAAAGAGAATGATAAATGTTAAGTCATCGTTAGCAACGATCACAGCGTGAGCATATGTCCACCAAGGAAAAAGGCATGGACGGATGGTGACAAAAATATGAGTAAATCAATCGAATGAGAAGGAAAGAAAAATCGATTTTGATTTTTGCTGATACATTGCCAAACAGAGCGAAGAAAAAAGTGCAACTCTTCTGTCAGGTCTACATTCGATTTGAATCATAGGACCTTTCTCTCGCATGAAACTTCCGTATTAGAAAATGTTATGATTGGTGTTCAATGAAAGATTGACCATATTCAATAATGTTTTGAACAATTCACATTTCGTACTTTAGTTCGTGTTATTACTGAGAGGTTGAAAATTTTTGTGTTCGAATAAAACCACCACTTAGTATGATAGACCTTTTTTCGTTTCCTACTTTAGGTTGCTACAAGTGTTAGAATTGTGAATGTTATCTCAACATTATCGATTACAACCTATCCCGTCTTATCCTACTTCGTTTTGTGGATGATTTTTCTTATGAAGTAACATAAGTATACACCAATAGTGGTATGGAAGATAACAAAACAGAAAAAAAAAATAAATAGCCAGAATGTTGACATACTGATAAGAGTTGTAAAACTGAAAATTTCATTCTTCTGTGTTAAGTACGAAGCGTTGATTATGCTAAACATAAATGTTGTTATTCTTGTCGCATTATTAACCAAATTTAACTTTGTCTGTTCGACAGTTTTTAATATTCGAGATTACGGCGCTGTTGGTGATGGACAGACTGATGATACACATGCCATAGTCGAAACTATTGCCAAATGTATGGAAAGTGGCGGTGTACTCTACATACCGACTGGTACATTTGTAGTCCGTTCGTCATTAATTTTCAAGACCAACTATAGGTTCACCATTACTGGAGATGGACTAAGCTCGGTGCTATTATGGAAATTCGACGATCATTTAATTATGATATTGTCACGTAAGTAGTGATGTTTTCAAAGAAATATTATGATTAAAAACGAAAACGAAACTCACTTAATGTTTTTTTTCAATAACTTTGTCATATGAACTATGGGTATTTCTCTTTGAAAAGCTTTTTAAAACTAAGCATTAATAATAGTTTGTTTATTGACATTTATAGAAGATGGTAGTGGCTTGTCACAGTTGACAATACGTGAGTTTGCTATAACATCAAGTTCTATTTTAAAATCCTTGGATAAGTTTGCAATTTATGCTGAAGACCTAGTTCAAAGTCAAATTGAGCATATTATTATTAATTCCAATGATTCAAAAAGCTCTCCAGTACCTAGTGGTATAGCAATGATAGGCGTGGCAGATACAAATAATATACGTGATGTTATCATGTGGGAAATTAAGGGCACCGGTATACAAATAGGATATGGTTCAGAGATTCGAATTTTAGGTGGCAGAATCGTTGGAGCTGGTGTTCGTTTTGATCAAAGTATTGGTATTCATTGTACAGGTAATAACGGTGGTGTTCATATAGATAATACGGATATCATTGCTCTGAGTATTGGAGTGTTGATTGATAATAGTAGCGGTGTTGGTTCAAATCGAGAAATCTTTATTAATCAGGCTACTATTGATTCAAATGGTAGAGGTTTAGACATTCGTGATAATAGTTATGTGTCAATTGTTGGAATATGGGCAGCATCAAGCACGATCGATCAAGTATTTGTGGATGCAAATACCACAGCACTTTTATCAATTAGTGAAGGTACAATTTTTAATGGTGGAGTATACGAATGTCCAAAACCGTTCGACTGGTGTAACGGTCTGACAGTACACAACGGAACATTTATTCTTAATGGCGTTGAAGTACGTAACAATAATGGTCGTGGCATTTGGATACTGAATGAATCGGTGACACAATATCAAATTATTAGTTGTCGTATCTTTGCTAATGGACAGGGACTTAATGTGACTGGTTCTTCGTTTATCATTACGAATAATGTTTGTAATTCAAATCGATTACCGAATGCTATCTCTGGAACAGAAACCTCAATAGTACTAAACAATCTTGGTTGCTGATCAAAATATATTATTTTTTTTTATGACTGACCGCAGAAGTAGAAGAAGCTTGACTTCGTGCTTTCATGCTTTTTTGTGATTTTAGTGAGATATATATGACTTCAAAGTGATTTTTCACAACTTGAATGATTCTTAAAGACATCGAAAAATACATAGTGCAACGCCTGCCTTCGTAATATAGAATCTCTCATAAGAGGAAACTTTTCTGTGTTAGAAGAAGGTAGGTGTGAATCTAATTAAAAGACCTGTATCTGCACAGATACTACTAGCAAACATGGATAGCAAGTTGTTTATGTGAGTGAGCAGTGTAAAATACTAGAAAATATCCAAAGTTCACGACACCTATTGAATCTGACATCTGTTTGTAGTACTCAAAATAGATCAAGATCGTACAAGATAGATTCCCATTATGTAAGAAAGGAAACATCATTTTGCCTTTTTTCGTACGAAAAATAAACATCTTTTTTTTACAAAGCAATGATTGTTTATGTACACAAATGAGTCTGAAATATAACTTAGATGACACTCTTTTTACCCGATCGAAGTGTTTGTTTCAATTTCGTCATGAAGGAAAAAGAGACTTTCCAATGACGTAAAACAATTTGTATAACTTGGAGATCAATATTTTCCTGAACGTCAGTAACTATGAAGAGTGTTCCAGGCAAAATAAGTACTTCTCGCTCTTGTCCATAAATGGAAATATCTTCGATGGCAAAGATTGTTGATGAGACTTTATCGATCTCAAAAACGAAGAGCACATGTTTTTGTCCTTCAACAATTGGAGTTTTCATAGCGAAACCAAGAGCAATGAGTGCATCGATTGATGTCGATGTGAACGCTTTGAGACCAAGCACCGCCATAGAATCATTCAGTAGAGCTAATTCATAAACAGCGACATCGTCAACAGAGAGTGTAGCACCACGATAAACGGTACCAGTGAAGGCTCGTTGTTTGAGTTCTTTTCGCTTGAGATAAAATTCCATGACAAATCGATCGCACAGATGTGGACTGGTTTGAGCTTCGCTTGGTGAACAAGCTAATTGTTGATTGAGTGGCCGATATAATCCGGCTTCTTCACTAGAATAAAGCGTGATGAGAGGTTCAATTGAATTTCTTCGATTAGCTTCCTGGATGAATTTCATACTACTTTGACGCATCTGAGGATCAGGAAGATTCTGAACAAATTGCTTGAAATCACCATGACTTTGTAGATCAAAAGTGTCCACACTGAAATTATCAGTCTGAAGAAATGAACGAAATGAGTGCGTAAACCAATTGTAAATTTTGAGCCAAAGGGCGGTTGCTTCTTGGTTTAGTGAATGTTCGAGAATTTCATCTTCTGATTTGAAGAAATGAACGTAATTGAATGTGGCATTAGAGTTTAGATTTGTTGTTGATTCTTCAGCTATGTAAAGAGCCATCATATGAACTGGATCCAATTCATGGAAACGATTGGTTGAGTTAGGTCGATCGAATAATTTTTTCATTTCCGGTGTCTGTGCTTCCTCATAGGCCCGTTTTCCATATCGGTTCAACGTAATCCGATTACAGCCGTAATGCAAAAGGAGTTCAACGATGTCCTTATATCCGTAGTATGTGGCTGCATGGAGTGCTGTACTACCATTCGGCTGCAAAGCATTTAATTCATCGATTGTTGGTCCATCACCCGAAGCAGCATCTTCTAGTATTCTACGCATGAAATTGGTAGCGCCACGTTGACAGTAGCGATAGAAATCTGATGCTTCTCCAGGAATGAAAGTCATCTTTTGTGCCTGTTCACGTTTGACTCGATCCAACTGATTAAAAGGATATGATTTATTTGTTTTATGTTTGTATTGTTTTAATGCTTTAGCCATAACTGTCTGAATCTTTATGTATATCTATAAAATGATAGAATTAATTAACCATGATGATCCAGGAGTAGATGGCTACTTCATAGAATCGAAATCTTACACTTTACATTACGGATTTAATTAGAATTATCAAAATGGATATTTATGAGCAAACCGCGAAGAAATGACGAGTCTCTCAAGATGATTACAACTAAATGGGACATTAACGTGTGAAAATTAGTAATCAACACTTTTGACATTGAACAAAATAAAACAAAGACCATGTTTATGACAAAAAGCACCATCTTATTGCTTTCAAAGTCTTGTTTATGAACGTATTCCACCTTAGTGATTCGACATTGAAAACAATTGTGTGATATCGAACATAGAGAGAGTTTTATAGATAAGTACGAAACTGTTCAAAAAAATCTCCTGGATCCGTGATAAATATTTTTAAGAGTTTCGAATTCTTTGAAATTCTCAAAACTTCTGTTCTTTCTAATACATAAGAATCAACACTCATCAGCATATTTTACATTAGCTGACTGCAATCCTGTTCAAGTTCTGAATCGTTACTTTCAAAAATTGTATATAATGTTATATCAGATGTTGGTGAGGGATGTTTCTTTTGTATTCGTTTGTGATATGTGACTAAAGTGATAGTTTTGTTTTGCAGGCGCGCCCGATTTTTTAGTTTTACACAAGCTTCGATCCTTCGACATCGCTCGCGAATTTTTAAAATAAGTTGGTCCGTTATCGAGTTACATATACTGAACATTGTGCAAAATACACGACGAGTACGGAATTCTTTTTTTTTTTCAGGAAAATTTCGTGTCGTTGTAGCAGCTGGTGATAGTCGAGAACAGTCAAAACCTACTTGGACTCAGAACTTGCTCGTGCATGATACAAGTTTTGCGCTAATCTATTGAATTTTAGATG